TATATATATATATATATATATATATATATATATATATATATATATATATATATAGTTTTGCATCGGCGTCGCAATATCCAAATCCGTATATATTTAGGGAGCGGTGCACTTGGACACGGTGCATTTGGACACAGCCAATCACAGCACCGTGTGATTAGAGACATTTGTAGGGTCCCTTGGAACAGCGACTTGTGATTGGACTGTGTCTAATTGCCCCGTGTCCAACTGATATACACCCCATATTTATGCCAGCGAATCGCAGAGTAGTTGAGTAGCTGGTCACATGACCAAGTTGGCGATTCTCTGTACTACAGGTTCTCTACTTAAAGTCCATTCTACAATTGCGTGAACGTGGATGTAAGTGGTTGTAAGTGATTACGACAACCAATCAGAGTAAAGCAATCAGTGAATAAAACATTCGGATTGGTTGACTCTTACGTTCACGACTACGCTTACGCAATTGTAGAATGGGCTTAAGACAGTACTTAAAATGATCTTAAATATAAGATCGGACTATGAAGGGTGTATATCAGTTGGACACGGAGCAATTGGACACAGTCTAGTCACAAGTCGCTGTTCCAAGGGACCCTACAAATGTCTCTAATCACACGGTGCTGTGATTGGCTGTGTCCAAATGCACCGTATTCAAGTGCACCGCTCCCGACTATGAATATCGGACATAGGCCGGTATTCATAGTCAGATCTTATATTTAAGATCAACTTAAGTACTGTCTTAAGATGTCATGAACCAATCACAGAGCCGTATTCGCATCTTAAGACATTACTTAAGACGATCTTGAAATAAGATTCGACTATGAATACCGACTATAGTCTGATCTTATGCAGGATTCACACTGCGTCCGATGTCAACGTACGACATCCGATATCCAATAGGAGAACCTAATATAGAATTCCACCAGCTTCCTAATATAGAATTCAATTCTCCATTGGAAAGCTATTCTTTTATTGGATATCGGACGTCGTACGTCGGACATCAGACGCAGTGTGAATCTTGCATTACATTTAAGATCATCTTAAATACTATCTTAAGATGTCATGAACTAATCACAGAGCCGTATTCGTATCTTAAGACTTTACTTAAGATAGTTTGAAATAAGATTTAACTATAAATACCGGCCTAAATTAATTTGTAAATAAAATCGTAAATGTTTACAAAATGAACACACTGAATGCTACGCTCAACGATTAATCAACTTCCTGCCAATCGACAGTCGTCTTATAATTTTACAGTTGCAAACGTGAACGTAGGTCAGTATTCATAGTCCGATCTTATATTTAAGATCATTTTAAGTACTGTCTTAAGATGTCATGAACCAATCACAGAGCCGTATTAGTATTTTAAGACACTGCTTAAGGGACGCCGCACATGAATTAAGCTAGTCACACATACTTTTCGTGACAATAACTGTAAGATGTAACGTAAGAATTAACCAATTACAATCGAGTATTTATAAAAATGGCGACCTTATTATTCGACGATTCTCAACATAATTGATCAATTCTTACGTTACGTCTTATGGCTCCTGCACACAGGACGCGGTAATACTTGCCGCGCGGCGGAAGTTCGCGCAACAGCCAATCAATATGTTGTTTTTCCGTAAGAGCTACAAGGTTATTACGGAAAGCAGCATATTGATTGGTTATCACACAAACTTCCGCCGCGCAGCAAGTGTTGGGTGTATATCAGTTGGACACGGGGTAACTGGACACAGTCCAATCACAAGTCGCTGTTCCCTACAAATGTCTCTAATCACACGGTGCTGTGATTGGCTGTGTCCAAATGCACCGTGTCCAAGTGCACCGCTCCTGCAAGTGTTACCGCGTTCTGTGTGCAGGAGCCATTACGGTTACTGTTACGGAAAGTGTGTGTGGCTAGCTTTAACAGTAAGGGCTATCGCACACAAATTGACATAACTGCATATGCATAGCATAAGATCGTATGGACCAATGAGCATCGAATATTAAGCATCGAACACCAATATGGCGACTTAATACTCGATGCTCATTGGTACATACGGTTTTATGCTATGCATATGCAGTTATGTCAATTTGTGTGCGATAGCCCTAAGGACCAGTGCACGAACATTGCCGTAGCTCCTTACGCCATTTTACGTGAAAACCTTACGTTACGTGAGACGTAAGCTGAACGTACGGCAACACACGAAAATTTTACGTTATGTTACGTTACGAAGGAACATAGAGGTTCTGTGACAAAGGTAATTAAATCAGATTATTGAACAATAAGTAAAGAAACAATAATAATTTATCTTTACAGTCATAATTAGAAATGATCTATATTGAGCACATATTAATTTTATTAAACTGTTAAATGTATATGTACAAAATTATAAACATTGAATTATAACCTCTTCCCAACACTATGTATAGAATATGTTTGACATATACATATTGGAATAAAATTTTAGGTTCTCAAGTCAACATATGAAAACATCAAAGTCTATAAAGATAAAATGTTTATTATTGTCATTACTCATAACTTATTATATAAGACTAAAACGGAGAAAAACACACAAAAGATGGCAAAATAGAAGATGGCTCGTGAGACCAATTAATCAACAGAGAAACAGCAAGGAGAATGAAAATTTGTTTCAAGAATTAAAAATTGATGAAGACATGTTTGTCAAATATGTCAGGATGAATGTCCAACATTTTAACAAGTTATTAACCATACTAAGACCTTATTTGGTAAAAAACTAAGAAAGCTCTGTCTCCGGAACACAGGTTAATAATAACACTAAAGTAAATATAGTTTATTAATAAAAAATTGTTTGATGTAACTACTTCTTAAATTTTTAGTTATGTTTAGAAATAATTGGTAGAAAAAAATGTTTTACGAAATTATAAACTATATAGCAAAAATTGTGATACACTTTTGTGTGTTTTTCTCCGTTTTAGTCTCATATAATAAACTAAGAGTAATGACAACAATAAACATTTTAACTCATAGACATAACTAAATAATAATTCATAAACTTTGATGTTTTCACATTTGTTGACTTGAGAACATAAAATTTTATTTCAATATTTATATGTCAAACATATTCTATACATAGTGTTGGGAAGAGGTTATAGCGCAATGTTTATAATTTTGTACAGATACACTTAACAGTTTAATAAAATTAATATATACTCGATATAGACATTTCTAATTATGGCTGTAAAGATAAATTATTGTTTCTTTACTTATTATTCAATAATCTGATTTAATTACCTTTGTCACAGAACCTCTATGTTCCTTCGTAACGTAACGTAACGTAAAATTTTCGTGCGTTGCCGTACGTTCAGCTTACGCCTCACGTAACGTAAAATTGTCACGTAAGGTGGCGTAAGGAACTACAGCAATGTTCATGCACTGGCCCTAACGTAATGGCTTCTGCACACAGGACGCGATAATGCTTGCCGCG